GGAAAGTGTAACATTGGATAACGTAAAACAACACAAGAGAAAAACTTATGGAAAAAAACATGAACAAATATATACTGGAGAGAAACCTTATATTTGTGCAATTTGTGGAAAAGGCTTCAGAATATGCCATTTCTTAAAATGTCATGAAAGAATACATACTGGAGAGAAACCTTACAGTTGTGATATTTGTGGAAAAGACTTTAGATTGAAGCATTTCTTAAAATGTCATGAAAGAATACACACTGGGGAGAAACCTTACAGTTGTAACATTTGTGGAAAAGGCTTCAGAATGTGCCATTTCTTAAAATATCATGAAAGAATACATACTGGAGAGAAACCTTACAGTTGTGATATTTGTGGAAAACAATTTGGAACGAGTAGTAACTTGAAAATGCACGTGCAAACACATACTGGGGAGAAACGTTACAATTGTGATGTTTGTGGGATACAACTTAGAAGTAATTCTAGCTTAAAAAAACATGGACAAATACATACTGGGGAGAAACCTTACAGTTGTGATGTTTGTGGAAAACAGTTTAGAAGTAACTCTAGCTTAAAAAGACATGAACGAATACATACTGGGGAGAGACCCTACAGTTGTGAAGTATGTGGTAAACAGTTTACAACAAATAATGCAATAAAATATCATCAAAGAATACATACTGGTGAGAAACCTTACTGTTGTACAATTTGTGGAAAAGACTTTAAATCGACTAGTGACTTAAAAGTGCATCAAAGAAAACACACTGGGGAAAAATCTTATTGTTGTTTAGTTTGTGAAAAACAGTTTCGAACAAGTATTGAATTAAAACGACATGAAATAAGACATACTGAGGAGAAACCTTATTGTTGTGATGTTTGTGGAAAAGACTTTAAAACAAATGCTGAATTAAAAATACATCAAAGAATACATACTGGGGAGAAACCTTACAGTTGTAAATTTTGTGGAAAACAATTTGGATCTAATTATAGCTTAAAAATACATCAAAGAATACATACTTGGGAGAAACCTTATTGTTGTACAGCTTGTGGAAAAGATTTTAAAACAAATGCTGAATTAAAACAACATCAAAGAATACATACTGGGGAGAAACCTTATAGTTGTGACTTTTGTGAGAAAGAATTTCGAAGTAATAGTAACTTAAAAAGACATGAACGAATACACATTGGAGCAAAAACATTATTGTTGGATAGTTTGTGAAAAACTGTTGTTGATTTTGTACAAAAGATTTTAGAATAAGCAGTGATTTGAAATGTTATAAAAGAATACATACTGGAGAGAAACCTTATAGTTGTGACTTTTGTGGAAACAATTTAAAAAGAACTAGCTTAAATGATCATCAAGGATTACATACTGGTGTGAAACCTAACTCTTATGCAGTATGTGATAAACAGTTTATAACAAATAAGGCAATAAAATATCATCATAGAATACATACTGGGTAGAAACATTACTGTTGAAGAACTTGTGACTTCAAAGTGCATCAAGTGAAACACACTGTGGGAAAAATATTATCGTGATGTTTGTGGAAAACAATTTGTATAACTTAAAAACAGTTTCAAACAAGTAAAGAATTAAAAGAACATGAACAAATACACACTGTGGAGAAACCTTACACTTGTGTAGAATGTGATAAAAAAAGTTTAGAACAAATGGTGGATTAAGATACCTACTGGGGAGAAATGTTACTGTTGTACAGTTAGTGAAAAATAATTCTTAAGTAACTCTAACTTAAAAATGTACCAAAGAACACTCTTTGGAGAGAAACCAGTTTCACAGTTTATGGAAAACAGTTTGGAACAAATAGTAATTTAAAAATACATCAAAGAATGAACATATGGGGTAAACTATACTGATGTTTACTGTGTTGTAAAGAGTTTGTAACAGACTGTAACTACTACTGAATGTGGTTATTGTTTAAAGTTTATTGAACCAGATGAGACAGGATTTATGTGTACAGATCTGTCTTTGGTGTGTTTTTGGAAATTTAGTTGGAAATTATTGTGTGTTAGTGTTTGATATGATAAAGCGACAACCAAAGAAATGAAAATATATAAATTAAATCTGGATGGAGAGAATAGTCATTGTTTCTGTAAAAGGAAATAGTAAGAAACTTTATAACTGAACAGTTTTTATTTCCTAGTTTTTTATGTATAGACAGTAAGTATTGATTAGAACCAGTTTATTTATATCAGTATTTCAACATGTACTGAGAATGTTCTGCTATAATTGGTTTCTTAACAACTGTGAATTATGGGATTAAATGATTTCAAACTACAGTCTCAATTTACTATGATGATTGAAGTACTGATACAATTTCTAGTAAGATAGTTTTCCTACAAACTTATAGAATTTATAAAATATTAATAAACATTGTTATTTTTGCCTAAAGTTTGTTATTTGTAATTACTTAACTATAGAACTTTAAAGTATTGGTGTCAGTAAACATGTTAATAGGACAAAGCATTATAAGATTTTATGGTATTCAACCATTAAAGTACACAAGATAATATACAGTTGATTGTTGTGATACTATACCATCATATTTCAACAGTTGAATTTGTCTACTGTAAACCTTTCTATTGAACAAGATAAGATAAAGTTGATTGTTGTGATACTATACCATCATATTTCAACAGTTGAATTTGTCTACTGTAAACCTTTCTATTGAACAAGATAAGATAAAGTTGATTGTTGTGATACTATACCATCATATTTCAACAGTTGAATTTGTCTACTGTAAACCTTTCTATTGAACAAGATAAGATAAAGTTGATTGTTGTGATACTATACCATCATATCTCAACAGTTGAACTTGTCTACTGTAAACCTGTCCAGGGAGAAAAGTTTTATAAAGTGTGAATCTTTGAAAACTGTGTCATAATTATTTTCTCCTTTAATATTTTGGTATTTGTTGTGATTGTATTAGAATAATAAACTGAACTTAAAAGTTCAACAAATAATGTATGATACATTTAACTATTTCACAAAATTATCACAAACATATGCTGTTTCTAACATGAAAACAGAAACTATCATGGAAACTTAATGAATTTGTTTGAAGATCTGGTTAAGATAAGATCAGATATGGATAAGATCAGAACTTTAAACTAACCTTCTTTGCCAGATGATTGGAATCAAAGAGACCAGGACTACAGCCTTTCATCCATATTCTGATGGGATAGTTGAAGGATACAGCATACACTGTTAAATCAGTTAGCCATTTTTGTGGATCAAGATCTTTCAGCAGTACGTGAATACACTGTCATCACTGATGTTTGGAAGAGAACATAGAAGTACCATTGGACCTTCTGTATTCTCATCCAGAGACTAGTTGCTGAACAGAGGTTTACAGAATATGTAGAGGGAATAAGGATCACCATAAACATCTTACTTGACTTTAACTAGAAACACTTGAATCAAGTAGTGATGAAATGATAACATTCCATGATATTAATGCTAGTGAGGATATACAAACACTGGCACAAGAAAATGACGAACTGAAAAATTAAGCAGGTGTTGGGAAAGTCTATATGTTTTACTGAAAATAATCTAATGTGGTTTACAGAAGCCAAGGGACAGACAGTCCAGGTCATACATTGTCTACTATGATCATCTCTGAACATATTTTGGTGAGTGAATGACTAATGTGCAAAACTACTTATCACATCTACAGAAACATTAGGGCACAATGTCTTCCTTTAGGATTATTCAGTTTCTCTGTTTTCACTGTAGACCTGTTCATGTAATAGTTGGCTCCTACCTCTTAGATGTCTTTGATAAATGTAAATTAACCAATATTGCAGTAGAGGAAAGACACATCTCTCAATTTGACTGTTGACCACTTTGTACCTCTGAAAATATTTTAATGGCTGGTCTGGCACTAGTATGTATGAATTCTCAATCATGTAAATATGGTTCAAGCTTCTGAACTGTCAATATCACTTACCAACTTCATGCTGAATGATTGAATATGCCTTCTGACACTTTATAAATTTCTCGATTGCAAAATTAACAGAAAATTTTCCAGAAGATTTTCCACAAACCCATTGTCTGACACATCAGTGCATAAAATATATTCCTGTTGGAAGTGATTTATATGTAAGATAGGAGAAGTTGACAATTTACTCAAGATGCCAATTCTTGATTCTCCACTGAGTTTGTTTTGTTTGATAACCTTTCTTGGTTTTGTCCGTCAGAGGAGAAGCAATAGCAGCAAAGTTTCTGATTATTTATGATCTAGAAACTCAAATCCTACAAAATATTTGTTTGGTTTAGTTGTGAGGTTATCTTTTCTAAACCTACTCAAGACATCTTTCAATTTACAGAAGTGTTCTTCCCAATCTCAGTGTGGATCATTTTGTCATCTTTAGTTGTCTACATTAGTTACACTTCTTATTAAGTAGCTGATGCATTCACTGACGCAGTTAGTGTCATTTTGAATTGGTATAACCTGTCATAAGTAGTGAAAACTGTGATTAATTTGATTCTTCTGTCATGGGGATTTAAAAATAACCATTAATTAAGTCATTTTGGTAAAATCTAACACCAACATTTATTCGGAGCAGTTGCCATACCAAGTCAAGTAGTCAGTACACTACTGAAGGATTCTAAGGATAGCATTTATTCATAACAGTTCCCCTAGTGAGTCATGTAGTCAGCACAACACTGATCTAATCTAACACAAACGTTTATTCACAGCAGTAGTCCTACTGGGTCAAGTAGTTAGTACTACATTAAACCAACCTAACACATTTACTTATAGCACTTGCCCTACTGGGTCATGTCGTCGGTACAAAACTAAAGCAACCTAAAACAAACATTTATTTACAACAGATACCTTACACAAACGTTTATTCACAGCAGTTGCCCTACTGAGTCATGTAGTCAGTAAACTTCTAATCTAATCTGACACAAACGTTTATTCACAGCAGTTGCCCTACTGAGTCATGTAGTCAGTAAACTACTAATCCAATCTGACACAAACGTTTATTCACAGCAGTTGCCCTACTGAGTCATGTAGTCAGTAAACTTCTAATCCAATCTTACACAAACGTTTATTCACAGCAGCTGCCCTACTGAGTCATGTAGTCAGTAAACTTCTAATCCAATCTGACACAAACGTTTATTCACAGCAGTTGCCCTACTGAGTCATGTAGTCAGTAAACTTCTAATCTAATCTGACACAAACGTTTATTCACAGCAGCTGCCCTACTGACTCATGTAGTCAGCAAACTACTAATCCAATCTGACACAAACGTTTATTCACAGCAGCTGCCCTACTGACTCATGTAGTCAGTACACTGATGAATCAATCTAATACCAATATTTATTCACAGCATTTGCCCTACAAATTCATGTAATCAGTACGCCACTAAACCAACTTAACACCAACATTTATTTACAATAGTTGATTATTGAGCCATCTAGTGAGTATACCATGAACCAGTCAAACCAACATTTTTTCAGGGCAGTTACTCTACTGAGTAATGAAGTCAGTACATCACTAAACTAACAAGATTGATGTTATACAGTGTGGCTTTAACTATTATGGGATATTATATAGTGGTTTTAACTATTATGGAATGTTATAGAGTGGTTTTTAACTAGTATTATAAGTCAGACAGTTTTTATTTTTATTATGGAATGTTATAGAGTGGTTTTAACTTCTATGGGAAATTATAAAGTGTCTTTAGCTATTATGGCATGTTATAGAGAGTGTCTTTAGCTATTATGGAATGTTATAGAGTGTTTTTAACTTCTATGGGAAATTATAAAGTGTCTTTAGCTATTATGGCATGTTATAGAGAGTGTCTTTAGCTATTATGGCATGTTATAGAGAGTGTCTTTAGCTATTATGACATGTTATAGAGAGTGTCTAGCTATTATGGCATGTTATAGAGAGTGTCTTTAGCTATTATGGCATGTTATAGAGAGAGTTTTCACTATTATGGATGTTAAAGGGTGTGTGTAGCTATTATGGGATGTTGTAGTGTAGTTGTAACTAATAGGGATTGTTGTAGAGTGGTTTAAATACTATTGGATGATATACAGGTTTTACCTATTACGGGATGTTAAAGAGTGGGTTTAACTATTATGGACATTATAGAGTGACTTTTATCTATTATGGGATGTGTACCAGTGGTTTTGACTGTTATGGGATGTTATATAGTGGCTTAAATCTTATCTTATGTTTTAGAGTGGTTTTAACTACTATAGGATGTTATAGAATGGTTTTAACTTCCATGGGATGTTATAGACTGGTTTTTAACTACTATGACACTTTAATGATGATAGGAAATTCGCATCTAATCATCGATCTTTTTCATCTAAATCAATTCCTAAATCCTCCAAAGTTCACAGTGGAGTCATTTTTCACCAAGACTGTGGATGATCAAGTTGATTGGTGCCAATGCCAATCTGCACGTTCCCATAGTGGAGTCATCCCACCATTATCTGTGTTTTGTGCACAAGGGCCAGGCACTGCAGTTCAGGACTTTGCCCTTTGGACTAGCATCGACTCCATATGTATTCTGCCTAATTGTATGAACCTTTTTAATCACCTCCATTTCCCTGGCCTGTGCACAAACTGCACACACCGTTATATGGACGACTGGCTACTGCTGGCACCACCTCATCAGTTGGTGGAATGTCACACCCAGATACTGCTTTCCAAAGCAACCAAGGCAGGATTTTGTATCAGAGCTGAGTATCTGGGTGTTTTTTCAACATGTATCTCAGTCAGGCTCACCCAGCTCTACACTATGAAATAGGCGATCCGACTCTTCCCCACATCTTCTCCCACTGCATGGATGGTTCTTTCTCTTTTGGGTATGTGTGCATCACTCGAATCCCTCATTCCTTTGGGATGAGTGCACATGAGATCCTTTCAGTGGTCTCTATGCAACCAGTGGATCATGAACAGAGATCCACTGGTTTCCCCAGTCTCTTTATTCAGGATCAACAGCTTTGATCTTGAGTGGTAGTTAAATTGGAACAATACTATGAACAATACCTCGTTGAGAGATCCATCATTTTATGGATGCATTGCTTCAAGAATGGGATGCATATCTCAAACGTAGGGCTTATGAACGGAGGATGTTTTCGAACTTCTTGGTGTTCAAAGGGCGATGTCTCACATTTTGGAATTATTGAGAGGCCAAGTTGTCATGCTTCACTCCGACAATTCCAGAGTGATGTCTTACATTTCCCATCAAAGGGGCACTCAGTCTATGTCTCTTTGTTTTTGAACTATACTTCTGCAGATGGTTCAAATTCTGTGGGCTCTGCCATGGTTTCATGCAGCTTGGTAGTTGTTCACAGGATCCCTTCTACAGTCGTATTTCACTTGTCTTGGATCATGTAGAAGCTAAACAGTACACCAATTGTGTTATCTGTATTGGCTCACTTCACTCTTCAACAAACATTGAATCTCTTAATATGAGTTCTCACCCAGTTATCTTGTCTGCTAGTCCACTTCTTATCATCAATTTATTTTCAGTTTTTCTGGATTTCTGGCCAGTTCGGTATTCATGGGAATGAGTTTGCTGATGCTATAGCAACAGCCATCTTTTCTGGTATTTTCACAGCCCTGCTTGTCCTTTATGTGGACTTCAGACCTGCCATCAAGGTATGACTTCACACAAGTTGGCAGTCGATTTGGGGTGTGCAACTTCATAAGCTTTTCCAGGTGAATCCTGCCCTTGTAATTTGGTCATCTAGTCCCAATAAGGATTGTAAGGAGGAAGTTGTCTTGTCTAGGCTACATATTGGCCATAATTTTATCTCTCATCTTTTTTTTATTCAAAGGTCTGAGTTGTCATTGCGTGGCCTTTATGACCTCGTATCCACAACTGCCTATCTTCTGTTTTCA